TGATATCGTTCAATAGAACAATTCTATGACAAAAAAAGGTGGTTTAAATTTTTTATTCACCGTGATAATGAACCTACTTCCGGTTAATCTACTTTTTATCAATTAAAAATTAAGCTTCGACCTATTAACTTAAGTGTTTGAGAAAATCTTAAATAAATAGAAATAAAAATTTAAATGAGAAATTAATTAATATATTGATTGATATCGTTCAATTAATTAAATAAGAAAAAATTCTGAAGCACTTAATTGAAATATCATGTGAAAGCCTGATATTATATAACGAAGAGTTTTGTAAACCAATTTCAATCTATTAAAGCATTTTTAGAGCTGTTGATATTTGTATAGTTTATTTAAATACTACATAATAAAATTGCAATATGCATATATAAAATTTTTTTAATCACTTAAATATTTTACTAATAATCATTTTATAGTTCTTTTAGTTTATAATTTACAAGCAAATTTAGTTGTTATTTTATAGATAACAATTTACAAACAAGTATTACAAACAGTTTATTTTACTAATAAATATAATTAATTTTATAGTGTATATATTTTAAATTTGTACACATATATTTTATAGTATTATAAAAATTATAGTGCACTAATTTTTAAAAATATTCACATAAATTAAGTGTACAATATGCACAACTTTCACATATTTTTGAGATAAGATTTTATTTACTGGTGTAAACCCCTTGCTTGGTGATGAATGCGGTCTTTTCATGGTCTTCTGGCCTCACCCTGATTTGCCAGTAACTGCTAGCTAAATCAAGGCTAGAGAACCAATTAGCCTTGCCAAATACTTCTAGTAAGTTATCAATTTTAGATAAGGGGTAGATGTCTTTCTTTGTCATAGTATTTATCTTATGATAGTTTATGCATAGATGAAGTTTTCTATTCTTTTTTGGAACAATTACAACTAGTGAGGTCCAGAAACTTTTTAACTCATAAATAAGACTATTATTCAGCTTTTTGATTTCCTTATTTAAAAAGTCTGTTCATCAAGGGCTATGCGATAAGCTGTTTGTCAAATTGGCTTGGCATCTCCAATATCTATTTTGTGCTGTATTTTGGCAGTGTATCCTAGTCTATAGAAAACAGTTCTTTATTTTCTTCTAAGATTTGTAGAGCCTGTTCTTGTTGTAAGTTAGTTGGGGTATCTATTTGCACTAAAGTGGTAATAATTTCTTTAGGTTTTAGATCAGGCTTTCCTTAATTTTCTTGTGAAGGGATTTCTTCTATGTTTGTTAAGTAGATTGCCAGACTATATTCATCCTCCAAGGGGTTAGTATATAATTCTACTTTATCTTCATCCATGGCATCATCTATATAGTAACTTTTTACCTCTTCTGTTTCTTCTTCTTTGAAATTATTAAAGAAATCATCTTTATCATCATTATATGTCTCTTGAAAGATTACTAATTGGTTTTCCTTGGCTTGGTAAATGGGTACTTCTATGCTCTTACCTAGGTATTATATAAATAACTTTCTTTCATCAAAGTGAAGACAGGCATGAATTTTTTGGAACCAATTCATACCTAATAACATTACCTTCTTGGGATTTTCTATTACTTGAAAAGTGGTAGGTACCATGATACTCCTAATGGCCATCTTTATATCTAGAATTTTGCCCAAAGTATACTTCTGTGCTCCATTGGCTATAACCACCACAGTATTCGATGGCTTAGTAATTTCAAGCTTTAATTTTTTTGCTAGTTTTTTTGAGATTATGCTAATAGCTGCTCTAGAGTCGAGAACAGCTAAAACGTGGTTGGTTTGTATTTAAATATAACATTGGGCTGCAATTGATCTTTTAGTATACTGATTGTCTGCAATATTTGATTCTTCTGTTTGTGGAATAATAGATCTTCATAGTGCTTGGGAAGATTATGTTATTGTTTTGGAATTTGTAACATTTGGGCATAGGTAGCATTAGCACACTGGTTTAGTAAATTCTCTGCAATGTTGTATGAAGGCACTAAGTTAACTACAAAAAGTGCTCTTCTTCTTTTTTGACATATTGCAGCTTCTGGTTGAGGTGACGTCAAAGTTTGTTGGCTAGAGGTTGCTTCCATTAAAGTTGGTTGAGTTTGTTGTGTGGATGTGGTTTGTATTGGGCTTGGTTAAAGGCAACTCTTTTTCTTAACTGCTCCTACCAATTAGCCTCCATGTCTGACTTCTCACATCACTTGATAACATATAATTCTTCTTCAGAATCATTTTGATTGATGTCATATATGTTAATATTTCAGGCAATTGTCATATTTCCGTTCTGGGTTGGTGAGGGTTGTCTAGGGGTTTGTTGTCACTCAGACAAACAATTCTGGGCTATGTGGCCCCTTTCACTACAATTAAAGCATATAGTACCTTCATTTTGTGACAGCTAAGAAGAGTTTTGTCTTCGTTAAGGATGTTGGGAACAAATTTCGGCCCTAGCCGTAAGTGCAGTGGTTAATTTTTTATAATTGACTGTCATTTGTTGCATCTTTTCTATTGGGTTATTGAGAAGTTTTTAGGTAAGTTCTCATCTTTTCTGCTCTTGTAGTAGTTACCCGCTTCTACTCTTCAAGCTCCTGCAATAGCATCATCCAGAGTTTTGAAATCTTTTAGGGATATCAATGCAGTGGTGGTTCCATGGAGTCCCTCTAAGAACATTCCAACAACATAGGGTACAGGTATTTTTTAGTCTGGGTCAACCTTTTTAATAGATTTTTGAATTTGTATACATATTTATTAACCTTTTCACTTTCTTTTTGGGTTAAGGTTGACAATTCGATCTGCCACTGATGTTTTTGTTTTGGGTAGCGAAATACTTTATAAAGATTTGTACAAAACTATTTTTGGTCATCCCAAAGAATAAAATCATCTATGTTGTCATTGTACCAACTTGCTGCGATTTCTAATAGGTGGCCTGATATAATTTGTATTTTCTTTCCCACTCCCCAATTATTCACATTAGCTGCTCTTTCAAAGGCCTCAATTCACTCTACAGGGTCTTTATCTTCATCTTTGAAAGTTTTCACATAAATCTAATAATTCTCTTTTCTGCCCATTGGAATATAATATAATACAACACACTTAAACACCTAGGCAATTTCCTTGAGTAGCTGGTGGGTTTGAACTGGGTTAACACATATATGGTTGTTGTCCTGATTAATAGGTCTGTTTTCATTAATAATCCTTCTTAGCAATCCTACTATCATGAATGCTTCTTTCTTCAAAATGATTGAGTTCAGACATTTTTATATGGGTATGTTGTTGTTGTTGTTTTTTTAATAAAATGGAGTAGAATAATTGATGTTAAGTTAAAGTAATAATATTGAAATTTTAATATATACTAGTGTTAGCCCATGACTTCGTCACAGTGTTTTAATATTAATGTTTATAGCTTTTATTTTTATTTAGATAAAAATCATACGAACCAGTTTTTTGGTTTTTATATAATAAATATTTAAATGAATTTATATATATTTTAATTATGTCATTTATTTACTAAATATTTCAATTAGAATTTTATATTTATTTTTTGGGGTATCTGTATGATAAATAGCGTAATTTAATGTTCTGATATGTCATTTATAGTTACTTTTAGGATTTGCAGATTGAATGTTGTAATTTAATTGCATGCTATATTTGGCATTTTAAAATTATTTTTCATATCAAAGGTGCTAATCGTTTAAATAATAATAATTTAATATAAGTTAAATCGGTTGGTTTGTTTAATTTTTATTAGTTGATTTGTATTTTTTTATTTATTTATTTTTTTAATAGAAGTTAAATTGGTTGGTTTGTTTGATATTTATTTGTTAATTAGTTATTTTTTTTTTATTTATAATATAAATAAAGTTAGATTGATTTGTTGTTATGTATTTGGTAATGTTTTATTTGTGCTATCAGAATGATATAATTTAGGTGTTTATTGTATGTTTTTTTTTTTTTTTTTTTTTTATTATATTGTATGATTTATTTATGTATTTCTGAAGTACTGAATTTTTGAAATTAGAGTGTTATGATATAATAATATATGCATATAAGTATATAAGGATTATTATTTTTATCTTTTGTAAATTTGTAATTTTGTTCCTTTAGTTGATTAGGTTTGTGTGATACTATATTACGCTAATACGATTGTAAGGATCAAGTATGTTACTTTTAATGAAAATGAAAAGATAAATTCTTTGGTTGTTTGGGCTCTCGGTGCTTATCTGGTAGAGCGAGAAGACTATAATATTGAAATGTCATTGTTTGTGCCTTTAAATTTGGATAAAAAAGATCCTGAGATGCAAGTGGTTTTTGAAAAGGATAATTTTTTTTGAGTTGGAGGCAAAATTATTCCCGGGTTTTATGGTAGTAATAGAAGAGCGAAGGTATCTGATGTATTTGTATATTTTTATATATATATTATTTTTATTTTTAGTTTATTTATTTGGTTGTTTTTTTTTGTTTTTCTTTATTGTTTTGTGTGTATTAATTTTGTTTTTTTACTTAGATGATAGTTTCTACTTCTACACATGTGGCTATTCTTAATAAGGTGGTTGAATCAAATAAATGTTCTCTGAAGATGTCTCTTGTTGGAATTTCTCAGAAATTGCCAAGTGAAGTTAAGGGTAGAGTGAATGTAGATCAATTTTCATATGATTTATGTGGTACAACAAAATTTTATATAGAAAGCTAAAATACGCTTCTAATAAAACTTTTTAGAATTATAGCCAATATCTATTAAAATTTCATAGTATATAATTTGATGTTTTGCATTTGTTATAGTAAAATTTTAAACCCTGTATTATTTAAAAAAATTTACCTTCGTATATTGGTAAAAAAACTTAGGTCAACTCGAATTTCCTTAGGTCACACAAAAATTGCTGATTCTGATTGGCCAAATCAATGTTGTTTACAATCCTGATTGGTCGATCATCTGATTTCATATGATTACAATGTGATTACTATTAAAAATGATCTCCATTCACCCTACCCTTAAAGATAATGTTTTTATTAAAATGTTGGTGTCTGATTTTTTTGGTCAAGAGCATAATTTTACAGTGAAAGTTGTCTTTTCTCATTATAATTATCATTTAACTTGTTTGAAGGATTCTATTCGTTCTCAAGAATCTTTGATTTTTGTAGTTGGGCAATTGGAGATTATTGGAAACAAATTTTATATTTATGCTAACGACATTAATTATGTTAATACATGGTTTAGTAATAAGAAGAGGTTTTTTGATAGCGATGTATCTTGAAATTTATTAGCAAATAAAAGTTTGATTCATTCTAAACTATTAGCTACTCATCAGAATATTGTTATTATTATTTTATTATAGAATTTTGTTAATAAAGTTTTAGTTATCATTATTTTGTTCAGGTTTTAGTTATTTATATTATTTTATTTAAATTATTACTTTATTGTGAAATTTCGTTAATTAAGTTGTAATATATTTATTGTTTTAGTTATTGTTTTTCATTTATTTTTAATTATTAGTCTCATTTGTTTGCATTAAATTGTAAGTTTTATTGAATGTTTATAGTTATTTATAATTTAGTCAAATAGGATTTCTTTATATACTACATTTAGGTATAAACACCTTTTTTACCTTTAATATTACCATTTTTTACTAATATTTTAATGTTTTGATAAGATTGCGCTCTTGAAAAAGTGACATAAAGTTGACCATGCATAAATACATATTCGAGTAAGTAGAGCCCTACGTTTGGAATCATTTGGCTTTAAGACTTGTTAATCATGAGGGCGAAAGCAAGTTTTATAGGAAATTGTTTTCTTTTTAATATAAATAGAAGTTTAACGTTATTTGGGAGAGTAAATATTATATGGAAAAGAAATACTTGTTTGCCTTTATGACTGCCTGTTGCTATTTTGGCCTCAATAACATTGGTACTGAATTTTTGACATATTAGTCTTGTGCTATTGAGTGGATCTATATTGCGAAGACAAATAATTGAGGCATTTATTTATTTTTAATAGGAGTTTATGTGGTGGGATGTTGCCAATAGTTATTGAGTTGAGGAACTCCTATTGATACAGATTATGGTTATTATCAAGGACATGATTGAAACTTCGATATGTTATATAGTCATCTGATAAATATTTTAATATTGTGTTATTGTATATTCGATGTATTTATTTTTAGTTGTAAGTATGACTTTGTCTGTGAAGTAATTGGTATTTTGGAAACTGTCTTGAAGGAAGGGATATACTGATCTTATAAGAATATGCAAGGATTCTTTGTTTTGCCATTTTATTACTATTTTATTAGGAATTCAGATCATGTTATTATTGATGATTGGTTCTGTTCCATTGCCTATTCTTAGTAAGAATTCTTTGAAATTATTTGCTTCAGGGTCATTTTTCACTCTCATATTTTGGTGAAGATGATATACTTCTATTTTAGACTATAATGGTGAGGATTTTAAAGTCGTGTTTACAATTTGAGCACAGCTTCTTCTTGGAATTACCAGTAAAATTTGTTAGAAATCTCTGCAAATACGATTACTTTTCCACCAAATAGTTAATCACATTCCATTATGTCTTTTAGCGTTTTATCTAAAGCCTCTATTAAATAATGATTCATCATTGAAATTTCATCCCAAATAATCAGTTTAGCTAATTTTAATAAATTAGCTAGTTGACTTTGTTTACTTATTATGCAAGTTGATCCTGGGCCGATGTCTAAGGGATTTTAAACCTCAAGTGTGCTGTTCGTTCTCCTGGTATTATTAGAGCTACTATACTGAATGACACAGTTGCTAGGGCTATCAAGTAGGTTAAACGGATCACAGCTAGTAGACATGGATAAAGAAAGGTTTTTCCAAAGCCTGTTAAATTATAGTTAATTTTGATTTATTTATTAATATTAATGTTGATTATCAGTCAAGTAGTATTTCTTTGTAATTTTTTTTTTCAGTATTATTCTATTGGTATGTTTTTTTTTTCGTTTTTTTATTTATATATTACCTGCTGGACTGTCTATGAATATAGCGGCTGGTAAATTTTTTTCAATTCGTTCGATTATAATATCAAATATTAATTTTTGATTTTCGTTTAATATTTCTTGTTTTGTTAGTTTTTCATTTGTTACTTGAATGTTCAATTTGGTAAGTAATATTCTTAGTAATTTATTTAGGTTTTTGTTAGTTGAAGTAAGCGATAGAAGGTCAAATTCACTTAAAGACCTGTGATGTTGTTCTAGGCGATATTTTATTTGAAGAAGTACTGTATTTGTTCAGAGGTAATTGTTAGGAATTCCTTTTTTTGCAAGATTTTCTGTCATAGCTTCGTAATTTTTGTTCCATAATGCTCTGGTGTTCGTTGGTTCTCCGAATAGTAATATCGTAGTGAACAATTGCTAAAGTGCAGTGGGCATTTGAAATTGAGTAGCTTCTCACATTGTTTCATTATACATAGTCTCAGTTTCTATAAGTCTTTGTTTCATTGTGCTTTTTTTAACGTTGAACATAAATGATTATTAACTAATCTTAATTCAGTAAATTATTTTGCATCTTTGATATGATTTAGTAGTATATGTAGATAATAATATTCTCCTTCTCCTAGATTAGCCGTGTAAATTCTTCCAATTATTTCACCTTGGTTACGTTTTGTCTATTTCTTTGTTGTTTTATTCCAGACATAGTGTCACAGTGTTTCTTAATGCCCCATGTACTTGTAGCGGTACCCATGTGACTGGTGATCGGGTACGTGATCGAATATTGTAATTGGGGATATGCATGATCCCTGATGTCTAAAAATAGAATTGCATAAACAATGTAGTAATAGAAGCGATTAGTATCGCAT